GGATAGAGACAGAGACAGGAGAGCACCTTTCCGATTCCATTGCAAGCACAAGGGGCTTCCATGCAGATCTACTTTGTATAAGCTATATATGCCATATACTCCTCCCTTATTTGCATTTCTAAACTATAATTTCACTCTAGTTCTTACCTATTTTGAAGAGAAAAACGAGAATATGGCAGAAAATAAGAGGCGCAGCGCTCTTAAATAAAGAGAAAAAGGTATTTGATGAGATCAAATTACCTAATTGACCCTAACCAATTTTGGAATATAGCATGTTAAAGTTTCTTCTACGTGTAATATGATGCGTAAAAGGAGCTAAAACGCGTCAAGAGGAGGATAGTCCACCTATGCTTTATTTTGGATTCTTTTGCATGTATGTTACATTTTCAATGCGTCTTCACTTTAAAAGTATAGCATCTTAAAGTGACCACTGCAAATAACATATGACTAGAAGGAGGAAAAAATCTGTCAAAGTAGGTCTTCTATTGGGACATTCACATGCAAGTTACCTTACATGTAATTTCAATTTATTTTCCTCTTTCTAATTGTGAAAGGCAACAAATCCAAGAATCATAAGGGAATAGAGACAGAGACAGGAGAGCACTTTTCTGATTCCATTGCAAGCACAAGGGGCTTCCATGCAGATCTACTTTGTATAAGTTATATATGCCATATACTCCTCCCTTATTTGCATTTCTAAACTATAATTTCACTCTAGTTCTTACATATTTTGAAGAGAAAAACGAGAATATGGCAAAAAATAAGAGGCGCTGCGCTCTTAAATAAAGAGAAAAAGGTATTTGATGAGATCAAATTGCCTAATTGACCCCAATTTTGGAATATAGCATGTTAAAGTTTCTTCTACGTGTAATATGATGCGTAAAAGGAGCTAAAACGCGTCAAGAGGAGGATAGTCCACCTATGCTTTATTTTGGATTCTTTTGCATGTATGTTACATTTTCAATGCGTCTTCACTTTAAAAGTATAGCATCTTAAAGTGACCACTGCAAATAACATATGACATAGAAGGAGAAAAAATCTGTCAAAGTAGGTCTTCTATTGGGACATTCACATGCAAGTTACCTTACATGTAATTTCAATTTATTTTCCTCTTTCTAATTGTGAAAGGCAACAAATCCAAGAATCATAAGGAAATATATAGTAATCGATGATCTATAGATATATTTGCCTACACTACAAATAGGTACATTCATAAAAAGAAAATATTAAAATTTTGAAGATGTAAAAGAATACTAGTGACACATAAGAACAAAAAATTAGTAACTAAATACAGTCTACTGTTAAGAATGGAAGATAACCAGATAAAAATATCTGAATAAACTGATGGAAAAACTGATTAGTAAAATTCAGATGCAATAATATCTGTGACACTGGAACTTTGCTTCATCATTAGCTGAATAAATAATAGTTTTCTGATTTCAGCCATATTCCCAATTTCAGTTTTTGTTGAATCAATTATATCATGAAATAGCAATTATTTTCTTGCATCATCAGGATCTACCACTACTACACCAAAGCTTATGTAACTCTTGCCCCATTCTCAAATGAGATTACAAATTTGTGTGTTTCCTTTTTGTTTTTACCCATGCCATGGTTGTCGAAAGCCGAAAGCAGAGCAAAGCGACAGTGTACCGCTTAAACTTTTTGGGGCTTAAGCAAGGCTTAAGCGGAAAAATCTTCGAGTCAATTTAATTTAATTTTTTTTTAAATGTTAAATAGGGACAAAAGTTCCAAAAAATAAAAAAAATTAGGGAAACTGAAAACTTATAAAACAAGGAAAAAATGGAAGAAAATTTTCTACAAACGATTTATAGAGATCTTTAAGCATGAAATAGATGTGTAATGATAATTAGATTAAATCACGCAATATTGTTAGAGAATATACACATCGTAATGTGATAAACTAACATTGTAGTTTGATATACACATCAAATAGTCAACAAGCTAATGACTTATAGTAAATTATCAAAGGGGAAATATACATATTAAATACAATCATCTTTATATTGATCCAAGTTTCTTCCAAACTTCAAGTAGAATCCTCTCAGGAAAAAAGGACAAAAACCATGTAAATAGGGGGAAAACCACTGAAAGCGGTCCAGTCGCTTAACACTAGTTGCTCTTCTTTGGGCCATTTTTCGATGCTCTGGCCGCTTTACTCTCGAAAGAGCCGTTGGGTGCGCCTTTAACGAGACAAAAGTGGCCCAACCACTTAATAGGCCCATTTTGGGCGTTAGCATAGAGACAATGTGTTGTTTCCACTTTTTTGAGCATTTTTGGCATTTTCCCACTTTTTACAACATTTACCCATACCTTCTTCATAAGGAGTACCACTTATTGATCCAAGCTGTATTCTCATTTATATTATAATTATTATCACTTCTCAAAGTCGCAGATACATACGCATATAAAAGGGACACTATCACATTATCATATTTTAAGTACACGGGACGTATTTACATAAAGAATTTAGTTAGAGGGCTTCTACAAGCCAGTGGAACAAGCAATTGGTATAAACAATTCAGTTAAATGGTTTACGTCTAACAATATTTGAGGGAGGACAAGGGACGATATCCCTACAATTAGTAGACAATATATCTTGGGAAGAAATTGTGTCCAACTGGGAGTTAATGAGTTTTAAATAGAAGATAGAAACCAAGTTAACCAAAAATTTAAGTTATTAGTTATTGGTTTCACCTTCTATCTCAAAAAACTATCACTCTATCTTAACATTGAAAATATGGGACAATACTCACACGTGAATCCAAGAAACTTCACTTTATTTGTGAGTGTAATTAAATCATCCATGGGACTCATAGGCCCTTCACTAACTTGCTTTAAACTGGCAACCATGATGAGGCGACATGGCTACTCAATATCTGTATGGTCTTCCACTACATGTGACCTAACCAGACCATTATCACTCCTATGTGTAATGCCGGGCTATTCATCCTTGAGTTAACCCAAGTTAGGATCTAAACCAGTAATCATGTGACGGCAACATACTAAAAACATCTATAGAATCTTCTGTCATCTGCGGGCTAAGTAGACCTAAGTTTGAACTGACAACCATAGGTGCAACGTGACATACATTTGATACATATCATCTAAGGATGGTGTGATCCTTTCGGATTCTTTTGTAAAGTTATTAATATTCTCATGTGGAAGATTAATAACTATAAGTGTAAATTCCACAAACCTTCTAAGCTTTGTAAATTCTACAAACGCCTAAACTTTGGGAGATTCACAGCCCCACTACCTTGACAACTTGGGGGATTATCATTAACAGAGTAAGAAGGAAATAGAGAAAATAAGAAATATTTTGGGGGAGTATTATTAGCATTCTACTTAGAGAGGGTGGAAGTTGTGGCCTTTGGTTGGTTATTTTTTATAATGGTAGTTTAGACATTTTGCCTTACCGTTTAACTTTGTTAATGGTAATTCAAAGTTCAGGGTTGTGCTGGTAGTTTAGACATTTCTCCTTACCATTTAACTTTGTTAATGACAATTCAAAGTTCAGGGTTGTGCCGAAACTACCCAAAGTTTGGGGGTTTATTTAGAAAGTCCCACGGGGTTGGTGCAATCCCCCTCCCGCTAATGATAATTTGTCAAAGTTCTGGGGTGTGGTGAAACTTCCCAAAGTTCTGGGGGTTTATTTAGAAAGTCCAATGGGGTTGCTGCACACTTCCCCGCTAAGTTTAAGGATTTATGAATTTTCTCTCATCATAAACTTTGAACAGAACATTTTGAAGAATATTCAAGACAAAGATTTATTTTGTCAAAATCATTTAGCTTATTTGTTTCCTTTCTCTCAGAAGATCAATGAGCATATCTATTTCCCTTTTCTTTAGAAATTTACCTTGCTGGTTTCCGTTTTAGCAAGTCAACTAGTTTATTTATTTATTTTTTTAGAACAATTAAATACTTGTCCTTTTTTTAGAGATTTTTTTAACTTTTTTCCCGTCAGAAAGCAAGAAACTATAAGACTCATCCACATGGACAATAGCAATTGAATAAAAATAAATTTAGACTTAGCCTAAGACCTTTATTCCATATCCCTTCTTGCTCTTCCATGAATGCTACAAATTAGTCAATATCCTACCTTACTAACATCTTGATCAGGTTTGCACCATGGTATAAGATTAGATATCCAAAGATTCAGTGGTATCCTAGTTGACATAACATGGTCATTACAATGGAGGAATGCATGAAAACAGACCCTTCCTTTCCATAAATGAGATCTATACGACACAGAGATAAATGATTTACATAGGAAGATAGAGGATCTCGAGCAAGTGGTGGATAGATTGCGGAGACAAGCACTCAACTTAGTTCAAAGCAATTATTGGGAGGCCGAGACGGTTAACTTGTTTTTGGATTGCCTACATGAATCATTTTCTCCAATTATTTCTATTTAGGATTTTTTCTTCTGTTAAGTTAATCTGATATGGAAAGCCTAATTAGATAGATACTGAGATCAGGACACAGATAGATGACAATTGCAAAAACACAGGTTGAATGAGTTATGTTCTTTGACAATAAGTGATGTTCCTTTTATTATTCAGAAAATAGAAAACAGTTGAGAGAAGATAGGAGAAGACAACAAAAGCTAAAGGTTGTTACTGCCCATAGCTCCATGGGGCTATGTCCAGCTACCGACGTTAAGAACTTAAACCGATGCATAAACTTTGAAGTAGAAATTGGCTTGGTCAACAAATTGCTAGATTGTGAGTTGTACCAATCTATTTCTTTTTATTTCTCATCTCAACACAGATGAGGTGATACCTTGTGTTGATACGTAATGCTTGATCCTTTGCCAATACTATAGCACTCTGACCATCACAATATGCTACAGTTTGGTCCTGATGAGGACCACGATCACCAACTAAACTTTTAACTGTATGTCTTTCCTTATTGCTTAAACCAATGTTATGTACTCTACCTCTAAGGTAAATAAGGCTATTGAAGACAATAAAGTAACTTATCAACTACAAGATCTATCAAACTGAAAATGTAACCAGCCAGTGATCATCTCCCAACCCAGTCTCCGCATAATTCGATCCGAATATCTTGAAGCATTAGGACTTTCATCAACTCTTCCATGTGTGAGACCAACATCTACCACTCTGAGATACTGCAATAATCGTCTATGAACATACAAAATGGTTATGGCTCATTCTAAATATATGATATGATTACCATCAAAATCCATTGTGAATTGCATTAAGGGCTTCTTTGCTTGCACGAAAGTAGTCATGAAGAAGCTACTCAGCTACTTCCGAGAAAAAAAAATATGTCTATCTAAAAAACCTACTTCCAGTACTTCCTTACAAGATGATGTGGTGCCTATGTGGCATCCCTACTTCAAGACTCATAAATACTTTGGAAATAGCCTAAACAAACATCAATTGAAGAATAAATTTAGTTTTTTTATTACATGGATATTCTTCATTTGAAAGAAGTTCTCAAAGGTCCTCTTTCTCTATTCCTGACAATATTCGTAACAACTATCCAAACAAACAAAAAATGCCCGAAGAAGAAGTAATATTTCCTCTACTTCCAAAAATCTGTGGAACAAACAAAAAAGGTGTTACTTCTGCTACTTCATACTAATGATTTTGATCAACAGAGAGGAGGATACAAAACACCTTTATATTCTCCTTTCTTAACAGGAGCTTGAGCTGGTCTAATGTGCTTAAGAAGATTGAAGCACTCCTCTAGCCTAAAGCAAGGTACAAAAAAAATCATTTAGGATTGTTCGATCCCTTTTATTCAGTTCTCACCCATTTCGATAGCTCGATTCCCAAGAAAAGGCGATCAATCTTTTTACTTTCCTACTATAGTTAGCCAGCCAAAAGTTTACTAACTCCACCAACATTAACGCCAACAAGTCCACAACAGTATCATTTTCCTGATCATATGAAAGCTTGTAACATCATAGCAAGAGATCAATGCAAATAAACAAATCTCTAAAGCGAAGCGAAAGATAATTTATATCAGCCTGAAAAGGGAATAGCAAAATTCAAGATGCTATCACACGCCTCAACCACAACTCACAAAACCCATCACCAGCTTACCTCTACAAATCAACCAAGCTAAGAAAATAATAATAATAATAATAACAATAATAATAAACTTTAACAAATTACATACCATAATCTTACTCAAATCATTAAAAAAGTTCACTAATTTAGAAAAAGATTAGACCTTGATCGATCCACTGCACCCACAAGGAGCTTCCATCTCGCTTTGATTCCCTTCTTCAAGGCAAATCCTGCACTGTACTAGGCCCTCCTCTTCATCTCCCCCTCTTCTCCTAACCTCCTCCTGCGGAACAGCGGGACACCCACCGTTATTTCTCGGCTCGGAGCTCGATGAAGCTGAGGGTTCAGCAACGCAGACCACGATCTCGCTCGCCATTGCTCTTTTTTTTTCTGAACTCTCTGCTCCTGTTTTGGGGAAGCAAACTGAGGAAATGGCCAAGGAGAGAGAAGAGGAGAATTCATAAGAGAGGGGAGATGTTAAGATTACCAAGATGCCCCTAAACGGAATTTGAACTCTAGCTCCTCGTGACGTAACACGTGGATGAATATTCTGTACACGCGTCTTTTCTCTACCTGGGATTTATGCATCTAAATCCTCTAAAATGTAATTTAGCAGATCTCATCTCTAACGGTTTCTTTTTCCTTAATAAACAGAAATGCCTTTATTAAAATATCAATATGGCAACAAGAGAGTGTTGGATGCTCGATATGTGAGTATAGTTTCACATTAAATAGAAAAAGAAATAGTAATGAGTTTAAATAGAAGTTTGGGCCAATAGCTTTTAGGGTTAAATCGATTGCCCAGCTCAAAGTAATTGGAGACATCGGAAGAATAACTGAGGCAAGATCCGAGTTAGACCAAGTATATAGTCTTGTTGGCCCACATAATCTATGGTTACCTTTAGGCCAAGTTAGTGAATCCTGTAAAAGATTGAATTAATACTCACAGATGAAGGGGATACAATGACGAATTTAAATAAGAGCCGAAGCTAATACCGAAAAGTTTATGCTTTTTTGGTTACGGGAGCATACCCTCAGGGATTTCTTCAAACACACCGAGTTACAACAAGAAGGGCATAATGCAATTTAGTAAGTCGATGAGCTATAAAGTTCCGTCTCGCTTAACATTTTTGTATGTAACTTCCACAAAACTCGTTTCCAAAAGCTTAGTACCTTCCGTAGCTCACAAGAGATTTCTTCAAATTTTGTGCATCGCTAAAAACTAAGATAGTGAAAATATCGAGTTGAATAGTAAACTTCAGACGCTCTTAAAATAGCGAAGCTTCGGTGGCCGCAGACAACTCGATTGCTTTGATTAGAAACTTTCGACCATATGTATTCCTTGGTTCTTTTAAATATGCCCAAGTCCCCTCCTTTTTTGTGTCTTCTATTCATGCATCATCAACCCACGACAAGTATCCCTTCACCGTCCTTACTACATCTTCCATCTGTTGGTACTTCAAGGCGCTTTTACTTTGCTGAGCGAGGGTGTTTATTTAGTTGTAAGTGAAAATTGTAAGTATGAAAGTCGCTTATTCTTGAGACTTCACTTGTTTGTTTTTATTGAAAGTGATAGTGAAAGTGAGATCCAAAATATAGTTCACATTAGATTTTTTGCAATTTCAACATCCCCTAAAAAAGTACAGAAGTGAACTATGAAAGTGAAAAGTGGGGACCACATTATATTAAATAATTAATATATCAGATTTGTTTCATCTTCAATGATATTTCATGTCCTCTAATTTTTCTCCCATGCCTCTTTTCTCTTCTCGCTGTATTTTCCCCCTTTTTATTTTTTACCTCCATAGAACTAATCCTACTGTTTTCCCCCGCGTTTTGAATATTATTCTCATCATTTTTTGTTGCAACATTAGTTTGAAATATGTCACTGATATGTGTTTTCATTGAAAATAAATAATTGGGTTATTTACATTTTGTAGCTTGGGTGTTCTTTGGGATTCTCTCATCTCCATTTGCAAGTATTACAAAAATAATTTGATCATAATGTTAATAATACCAAGAATTTCTTTTTTACTGAAATTTTACCAGTGAGATTATACTAGAACTATCCATGATGATTGCTTAGTTTTGGGTATATATGTCTTAGGTTTTATTTATTTTGTTAAATTAGTGCTAATGACTACATGATCTCAGTTCTGGATATGGTTCAAAATGGTAAATAGAGAAGGAGATTGATTTAAAGAAAAACATGATTTTTTAATATATAAATAAATAAAATAATGTTGCCACATCATCCTCACTTTTCAACTTTCAACAATAACTTGTTTTTGCAAACAAACAATGTATGTCACTTGTATGCTGACTTAGATGCATTTTCGCACTTTTAAAAAAAATTATTTTCATACTTTTAACTCAGTTGCAAGTAGACAAACACCCCCTGAGTTGCATTTGGATAAGTGTGATCTAGTTGGGCTTGGGATAAAGCATTGTGTTTAATTTTTAACTGGACTTGTTTGGACTTTAACTAACTGGCCCAATGGGCTCAACTAATTGGCCAAAGATTGTTGCTGGACTCTAAAAATATCTCATTTTATATTAGGAACTAGTAGAGAGTTTCTCATTTTCAAATCTCTAACGCCTCATTTGGTATGCGGGGATGAGTGGGAATGAGATGCAATTCCAACTCTTTATTCATGCGTACCAAATACGATATATTTTTAGACGGTAGAATTAATATTCCCACTTCTTATCAATTCTCACTTTATGTGGGAATTGTCATTCCCAATCATTTAACAATGAATTGATATTCTCACTTAAGTGAGAATAAAATAATCAAGTAATTTTCGATTATGCTCTTCTTAAAAGATACCAATAGATATAAATTCTCATATGAAAAATTATTTCTATAGAAATAATATCATTAGCTGCTCGTACAAATAAATTCTCATATGAAAAATTATTTCTATAGAAATAATATCATTAGCTGCTCGTACAAATATACAAATAGATGTAAAATATTAATAATATCATTAGCTGCTCGTACAAATATACAAATAGATGTAAAATATTAAAATACTATTCTTTGTTCGAATTTGCCTTAGTTCCATTGCGTCTGCAGTAGAAAAATCTCGTCTTCGACTCGACACGACTCGGTTAAGTAACCATTATTTCTTTTTAAAAATTGTATGTGTGGCTAATCTTTACAGTAATTTTTTTATCTTTTGGCGACTCGGTTGCATAATCTATTGGCAATTAGGTTAGTAAATATATTATCTTTGGATGTATGATTTGAAGTTCCATTGAAGCATATATGCCTAATTTTTTCAGTGATTTTTCAAAGCACTCACAACGAGAAATAATGTGCTTAATTAATGAGATTGAAACTTTAAATTTTGATTAGAGGTTAACATATTTTCTATTCATTGAAACTTTCTAGGTTAACATGTTTTCTATTCCTAATCAATTTTTTGAAAGTTAAAGGCACATTTGAAATTTCATAGAAATTTTATATACAAACTAAAAGTTAACCTATTTTTCCAATCCTTTTTAAATTTTAGTTTTTTTCTTTTGATCTCTCTCTCTCTTCATGCATGCATATGGAATTCAGTCATAAATCATGTAGCATGCATATAGAATTCAGTCTAGTGTATACTTGTGCACAACGATACTAGTAGCATTAGCTGCTCGTACAAGTAATAGATATGTAGTATTAGAAGTTAGAAATATAGAATTATAATTATTTATAATAAAAAATAATTTCTATAAAAATTATTTTTTAATTTGTAAGCCAAAAATCTGAAATTGTTGCTGAGGCGGTGTACCAAAATATAACTATCAACTGAAAAATTATTTCTATAAGAAAAAATATCATTTCTATAAAAAAATTCTAAAAAAATTATTTAGTCATTTTTTAAAAAAAATTGTGTTTTTAAAATTCTGTATTTTTGTAAGGGCATTATTAGAAAACTAAATTTTATTTTTAATTGTGAACAATTGATACCAAATATGGGAATGAGAATAAGATTGACATTCCCATTTTATTCTCTAAACGCGTCCAAATATGATAATGAGAATGTGCATTCCACTGCCGCATCTATTAAATAATTATTATATCAGATTTGTTTCATCTTCAATGATATTTCATGTCCTCTAATTTTTCTCCCATGCCTCTTTTCTCTTCCCGCTGTATTGTCCCCCTTTTTATTTTTTTACCTCCATAGAACTAATCCCACTGTTTTCCCCCGCATTTTGAATATTATTCTCGTCATTTTTCGTTGCAACGGTAGTTTAAAATATGTCACTGATATTTATGTTTTCATTGAAAATAAATAATTGGGTTATTTACATTTTGTAGCTTGGGTGTTCTTTGGGATTCTCTCATCTCCATTTGCAAGTATTACAAAAATAATTTGATCATAATGTTAATAATACCAAGAATTTCTTTTTGCTAAATTTTGCCAGTGAGATTATACTAGAACCATCTATGATGATTGCTTAGTTTTGGGTATATATGTCTTAGGTTTTATTTATTTTGTTAAATTAGTGCTAATGACTGCATGATCTCAGTCCTGAATATGGTTCAAAATGATAAATAGAGAAGGGGGTTGATTTAAAGAAAAACATGGTTTTTTAATATATAAATAAACAAAATAATGTTGCCACATCATCTTCACTTTTCTACTTTCAACAATAACTTGTTTTTGTAAACAAATAATGTATGTCACTTGTATGCTGACTTGGATGCATTTTCACACTTTAAAAAAATCATTTTCATACTTTCAAGTCAGTTGCAAGTAGACAAACACCCCCTAAGTTGCATTTGGATAATTGTGATCTAGTTGGGCTTGGGATAAATCATTGTGTTTAATTCTTAATTGGACTTGTTTGGACTTTAACTAACTAGCCCAATGGGCTCAACTAATTGGCCAAATAATGTTTTTGGACTCTGAAAATTTCTCATTTTGCTAATGACTGCATGATCTCAGTCCTGAATATGGTTCAAAATGATAAATAGAGAAGGGGGTTGATTTAAAGAAAAACATGGTTTTTTAATATATAAATAAACAAAATAATGTTGCCACATCATCTTCACTTTTCTACTTTCAACAATAACTTGTTTTTGTAAACAAATAATGTATGTCACTTGTATGCTGACTTGGATGCATTTTCACACTTTAAAAAAATCATTTTCATACTTTCAAGTCAGTTGCAAGTAGACAAACACCCCCTAAGTTGCATTTGGATAATTGTGATCTAGTTGGGCTTGGGATAAATCATTGTGTTTAATTCTTAATTGGACTTGTTTGGACTTTAACTAACTGGCCCAATGGGCTCAACTAATTGGCCAAATAATGTTTTTGGACTCTGAAAATTTCTCATTTTATATTAGGAACTAGTAGAGAGTTTCTCATTTTCAAATCTCTAATGCCTCGTTTGGTGCACGGGAATGAGTGGGAATGAGATGCAATTCCAACTCTTTA